GACGGCACACAACAACAACAACAACAACAGCAAAATATGAAAGATGAACCTTTGTTAGCTTTATCTCCAAGGAAACTCTAGCTGCATTTTCTCCAAGACATATCTGCTTGCTCTTTTCACATTTCATGGGATATTCAGTACTGCCCCCCAACTCCACAGTTCAAAGACATCAAACAAATCTCCTTCTGGCATCCTTATTCATTGTCCACTTCTCAGATGCATAACAAGTGAAAGAAAAGACCAAGGTATGAATTATACACACTTTAGTCTTCAAACTCACATCTGGAGAGACCCTGACTGCAGAACTTTCCTAAAGCAATATACATCCTGATCTCCTGACTACTGGTACCAAAGGTGTTAATTGTGGATCCAAATAATAAGTAATCACTGACAATTTCAATCTTTTCTGCATCTATCTTACTGTTGCTTAATGGTCCAGTGGTGAGGAATTTTCCCCCCCTAATATTGACATGTAATCCATATTGATTTAAGGCTGTAGTTTTTGATCTTCTGCAGCAAGCATTTCAAGTCCTCTTCAGTTTTAGCAAGCAAGGTTGTATCATCTGCATACTGTAGTCTATTGATGAGTCTTCCTGTGACCCTGATGCCATTTTCTTTGTAAAGTTCTGCCTTTTGAATTATTTTCTCTTTATAGATATGAAATAGGTATGGAGAAAGCAGACATTCCTGATGCACACTTTCTTTTATTTTAAATCTTGCAGTCTTTGCTTGCTCTGTTGAGACAACAGCTTCTTGGTCTAGGTCTAGGTTTCAAACAAGTATAATTTAATGTTCTGGGATTCACATTTTTCTCAATGTTAACCATAATTTGTTATGATCAACACATAAAGGACTATATGGAGGATGCACTACGTGGTAGACAGTAGGTCCACACGTAAAGTACTATGCTATCAAGGACAAACACATGTATCACCAAGTTCGTGTCCATACGACATTCACAAATCTCATTTTAATTCCTTTCTTCCCCCTCCCCCTTTCTATTATGCAGAACCTAAACTCTAGCTTACTATATTGTAGAACAAGAGAAATAATAAATAACGATAATCTGCAACTAATAATGTAAGATATGATATCCAAGTAGGAAAAACTCAGGTGGTATTTTAGCTGAAACACTTCACCATGTACAGAAATTAATGGAATGCACATCCAGGGACATGCATTTTAAGAAACAAGATACAGAGTTCTTCTAGAATCTAAACTAATTTATGAAAGAAGAAATAATTCTATTTAAGTTGGAACCTACCTACTATTTCCTGCCTTTTTTTTTATAAAAAAGAAAGACAAAGCCGTGCAAGGTGGAGAAATTAAAGCGTAGTAACAATCAAATATAAAAGAAATTCTAAGTATCTGTCAAAAACAAGGCTAAGTGAACTATTTTTGAAGGAACTGAAAAAAAGACCCCTGGGCCAGAAATGTTATAGCTCTGCTCTTTCTAGGTCGAAACTGTTAGAATGAGACAAAGAAAAATCTGGACCTGGAGTAAGAAAAAGATATTAGGAATCCATTCTCCACACTGGCAGAATTTTGTTTAACAAACAGACGAAAGGCCAGAATGATTAGGTATCATAAGAAACTGGAATTAACTGGAAGGAATAAATGAAAAATTATGACTCTAGAGTGAAGGGTGAAACATTTTTAGAGCGCCCATTAGGTGAAGCTAAGTAGAAAACAGAAAAATAAATTATTAGAATATGATAAAAGAAAGAACCATTTTTCGTGTTTCTTGACAAGAAAAACACTGTGTGCTTTGCAAAAAATAAATTTGATATGTTCATGTACTTGAGCAAGCATTAAATGAATTCTAGACTGAAATGAATAATAATAATAATAATAATAATAATAATAATAATAAAAAACATTAACCCATTTTATGCAACACAGGTTTGACTCGGGGGTAGGTGGAGGATGAGGTAATCTCCTATACAAAAAACCAAACCAAAACAAAACAAGAACTTATTTTGGCTTTCTTTATTAAACAAATAGGAACGTTAGTTTAAAAGTATATAAAGAGAGCCTAAGAATATTAGGCTTTTTTTTTTAAAGAAACATTAAACCATTTTGGAGAAAGGGTCTTAGAAAGTATGCCATTAAAATATAACTGGACTTGCAGGAACGATTACTGTGCTGTACTGTAAGGGGAGCTGTTGGCACATAAGAGCAGCTCACACATGAGCTCATCCACTGGCTTCAGCAAGACCCACTTTTAGCTAGATGCAGTCATGTTTCAAGACCTCCGATTCCCTAATGCTGACAAGCTCAACAACTTGTTTTGTCTCTGGGAGCTCTTCTCTGGTGATTAACTGCTTATGGTGAATACTAATTACTTATATAAAAGTATAGTACTGAAGAAATAATGCCCTATTTCCTCTACCTGCAGCCTAGACATGTCTTTTGAGTCTAAAAGTTACTGGCAAGAGCCTGTACAAGCCCAAACCAAGATATATAACTTGCTCCCCCTCAGTAAATAAATATCTCTTCTTCTCCATTATAGTATAGCCAAGACCTGCCCTTTAACCTCTGGGCTCTAAATCAAAGGTAATCAGAATAAAGTGAAGGTTTTGAAATGTTTGCAGTGACCACCTAGAAAAATTTGCTGGGAGAGTTTATGAATCAGTGAGCTCCCCATGTCCTCAATTTCCCATATCCCATGTCGAAATTATACCCCAAATTGTCAGTTCTTAGGAACTGCACCTCAGATTAAAATCTTCCCACCAGGAAGTCTATGAGAATTTGTTCTTGTGTTTTAAATCCTAAATGCTTGTTAAACTGCCAACACTGCAAAATTAGAGACCATTAAACAATATAAGGCAGCAAATGATTAAATCTACCAAATACACATTCAAAGCAGCTTAAGCTACTTTTTAATTAAAAATAAAATATCACTGGCTAAATTCAGATGTCTTAGCTATCCAGAAAAAGTTAGAAGACTATTCAAAATGCAAGCTTCCACAGACAAGGCCAGAGAGAAAAGGGAAAAGAAGGTTGGGGGTGGGTCAGAAAGGGGCTCTTCTCATGTCTAAATCCAGGGTGGCAGGGCCTTGTCAGCTTGACCCCGTTTAGTTGGTGGGCATTAAGGGGGGAACCAGTAGGCCCTGCAGGAGAAGGACTCCATGTGGCTTATTAAATAAGCTTTATTAGCAAAGGCCTCAAAGTAGGCAGGGTGTTCCACCTTCTTGGCAGGGGAATGAGTTGAGTAACAGCCACAGAGGAAGTGAAGGCATTGGAAACGTATAGATGGGAAGCCAACTGAGAAATGGTTCTTGAAATAATGATTAGCTTTTGGAAGAAAAGGCATTATTGGGGCTTTTGAGCAAATAGGATCATCTGAAAAAGAAAGAAATGTATACCGTAAAGTTTGAAGTAAACAAACATTGTAGCTCTAAGTTGTTCCTACTTGTTAAAGAAAAGGGCCAGGGGGCTTAGTCAACATTGGGCAGGATGCCAAGAATCTCAAGATCAGACTTAAGGCTGGGATGATATCATTCACTGCGAAGTCCTGAGACACTGAAGCATGAGACTATTTACTGGTAAAATCTTACCTCACCCACATTTTTCTTATTTTTAACTCTTCATTCCCTCCCTCCACTCCATGATATTTTCCCAAATACATGTTCTGTCTTTTATGCAAATGTTAGGAGTTCACTTTTAACACTAGACACGGGCTTACCTAAAAAGCTTGCCCTGAAGTAAAGCACTGGTACTTGGTAGCTACAGGAATACAAGACATGATACTCATATTTAATCACTTCCGATGGCGCTGTATTCTCGGCCACTTCAAAATCATCAGGAGGCAGCTCAGAAGTGTCCTGGAAAAGTGTGAAAAATGGAAACAAAATGTGCTTATCAATCAAATGGTGCACTAAGTTGGAGAAAGAAAGATGACATTTCCTTCCTGAAGAATAACAGTTAAGTAACTATAAGGCAATGAAGTAAGGAATTGGGAGTTACCCATATTAATGTTTAACATTTGAATCCTGGGTAAATAGTAAGACCAGAAAACATTAGCATTAAGTAATTCCAGATTGTTTTTGTTAGACAAAGCAGCTCTGGGTAAAGAAACAGGAAGACAGAGTGCAGAAAGATCTATTTCAACAGCAACTCCGAAAAATCTTTATTGTACAATTTTAGCAGGTCAATGATGGCTATACAAGCTACCTTCTTCCCTACCTGTGAAAGCTAAAAACATCCTAACAATTGAACAAGAGGCTGTGAAACGTCCCTAAAGATTCTATTGTACTTGCCAAAAGATGATTCATTGTGTGCTGAACAATTCCCAGTTCCATTTTGAATAAGAAAGTTATTTTGCAAGAGGTTGAGTTTGTTAGGTACATTTCAAAAGCTGAGAGGAATCTGTTTTCTTTACTATTGTGATATCCTTGGTATAGTTCAATAATAAATCCTGATTTATAATAGGGTAGATGGCAAATATTAATGTCAACATGAACAGGGTTCAGTAAGCAGAGATAGAATCATTACTCTTCTCATCTAATCACTTCCTTACGAGTGAGTTTTTTATTGTGTAGGGTTTCTGAAGAAGGTATCTTAAAACTTGAAAGCAATTAACTGAACACTGAGTCAGAGTCTGGATCCATCTACTTATGTATTTGTGTGGAAGAATTTCCTTTGAAATTAAACTAGTAAAAGGAGCAAAGCAGGTGGGCTTGGCCCTCGGCTGGCTCTCATCAAGGCAGTTACAACAACAGTAAACAATTAGAAAGAAGCAAACTTTATCAATATGATATAAAGTTTCTCCTGGAGATAAGTAAAACCACTGACTACTTCCCAGATTTGTATCTCTTACTAATTCCCCAGGCATAGTCAATTCACTAGGGAGCCTGCCATATACAAGTCACAATTGGAAAGGTTTGCGAAATATCTTTTCACAAAGCTCCAGTGTATGCTAGCAATTAAACACACAAGACAAATCATTAAGATCAGAGAGGTTTCAGAGAGAAATCACTAACATATGAATATCCTAGATTCAGGACATCAATATAGTAAATAAGAAAGAGGTTTTTGTTTTTGTGTAGTGGTTGTTTTCTCTGTTTTTTTTTCATTCACTAGGCATAGTTATCTATAAGTGTCATAAGCAGAAATTCTTTTAACAATTTTTTTCTTTAAAGGCTAACTCATCCAGCATTTTATTTCTAAATACTTATGAAAGCACCAAATCTTTGTTATAAGGATGAATTGCAAACACTGCATAAATAACATAAAATGGGAAATGAAATTCCTCTCTTTCCATGTACCTCAGATATGTAACTGTTTTTAACCAGGCTTTTTTTATTTTGGCAAAAATTCACAGACACACACGCATGCACACACATGTACATATACACACAATCAATGAGATCATGCTGCATGTGCATATATTCTAGTTTTGCTGCCCTGTCAGTGTTCTCCATTTAGCTTCTTCTTAAAGAGCTTCACATTATTCTATAGCATGCCTAAGCCTTCATTTGTTTGACATTTCCATATTACTAGACATTTTGGCTTGATCATAATTTTCTGTTAGTACAAATAATATTATGAATATCCTTACACATCTTGGGTTCTCTTAGTTACAGAATCCCTAAAACTAGACTTACTGGATCAAAATTTGTATTCACCAATTTGTATCATAACTTTCAATAACAAAACACACACAATGAACCCACTCCCTTCAATTTAATTTCGGTTTCTTTCCAATCACTCACTATGCATCTGAGAGCTAGACAATGAATAAAGATTACAGAAGAAGAATTGACGTCTTTGAGCTGTGGTGTTGGGGAAGAGTGCTGAACAGCCCATGGACTGTCAAAAGAACAAATATTTCTTGGAGAGGGTGCAGCCAGAGCACTCTTTGGAGGCAAGGATGATGAGGCTATGCTGCACATACTTAGGGATTGTCACTAGACGGGGCTATTTCTTGGAAAGGGACATGATGCTCAGAAAAGTGGGAGGTCAACATAGGAGAGGACGGCCCTTGACCACATGGACCGACACAATGACTGCTACAATGAGCTCTAATGTGTCAGGAAGTGTGAAGATGGGACAAGATAGGGTTCATCGATGTTCATACGGTTGCTATGGTTCTTACTCAACTCGTGAGCACCTAACAACAACAAAAATGTATTAACTTTCCTCAAGTTTCTGATGCGGGAGGATAAGGTCCCTCCTTTTTATGTGGAGCAGCTGGTGTGCTTGAACTGCAAACTTTCCAGTTAGCAGTGCAACACTTAACCTACTAAACTATCAGGGCTGCTTCATTTAATACATGCTGCCAATCTTTCCTCAGAGAAAAGCATGCATCAATCTATATTCTCAGAAAAAAAGATATCCCTATCCTATATCTCATAAACAATATTATTTGTGTTTTTAATTTTTTACCAATTGATAAATATAAAAATGTAAATGTACTGTTTTAAATGCTACTTTATTAATATTGAAGAAATGTAATGGTAATTTTTATTCTTCTATAATTTGTCCTTACACTTGGTCCACTTTTCCTGATATTTAGTTTGTTTTCACTTTTGTTATTGAATTATATAAAACATCTGTATATTAAAAATGCAAACTCCTCATTGGGAATAAATATATGTACGCAAGACTGTTGTTAAGTCAATTCTGTCTTATGGGAGTTCAAAGGTTACAAACTTTTAAAATTATTTTATACTAGTTTGCTTACAAAGTTCATATACATTGTTTTTCCACAATGAATCTTTACCATTTCTTTTACCCATCAATATGTGCGACCCTATGATTACTCTTCTGCTCATCTTCCCGCTCTGCACTCACCCTCCTTTACTTGGATCCTCATGCACATTTTACTAGTTAGCTTTGTATTTCTAAAATAATGGTATTTGTCCCTTATGGGACTGAGTTAGTTCACCTAGCATAATGCTCTCCAGTCCCTCCAAAGTTATGCAGTGATTTTTAAAATCATTGCTTCTGCATGCTGAAGAGTATTCCATCATGTGAATGTACCAAGATTTCTCAATCCATTCAATTGTGGTTGGACACTTGGGCTGTTTGCATGTTCTTACGATGGTGAATAACACTGTTAAGAACACTGGTATACAAAGCTCTATTTGTGTCTCCATTCTAGTTTTGTTGGGTATATACCAAGCAGTGGAATAGCAGGGTCATATGGAATTTCTATTTCAGCTTTCTGAGGAAACACTAAACTGCTTTCCAGAGTGGCTGTACCATTTCACAATCCCATCTACAGTGTATAAGAGTTCCTATCTCTCCACATATCCTCCCCAACATTTATTACTTGCTGTCCTGTTAAACTTTGCCACTGCTACTGGGGTGAAATGGTATCTCATTGTGGTTTTGATTTGCCTCTCTCTTATTGCCAGTGATTTTGAGCATTTCTTCATATGTCTTTATATGGCCATCTGAATATCCTCATCTGTGAAAAGTCTTGCCATATCTTTTGTTGCTCATGGAAAATGTTTTAGATGCACAAATGAATTGAATCTTTAGAAGGTCCCATTCATCAATTTTATCCTTTCATGGTAGTGTAGTTTTGGCTTGGTCCTACTTAATTTGTAGTTGGCTATTGTAAATGGTATTGCTTTCTTAGTTCACTTACCTATGGTTTCATTGCTACTGTAGAGTAATCCCATGGACTTTTGTACATTGATTTTGTATTCTGCCACTCTACTAAATTGGTCCGCTAGCTCTAACAGTTGTTTTTTTGTTGTTGAGTCCTTGGGACTTTCTGTGTACACTATCAAGTCATCTGCAAACTGTGACAACTTGACCATCTTTTTTGCCAATATGTTGTTATGTGCCTTCGAGTTTTTTGTGACTCATAGCGACCCTACGTACAACAGCCCTAAACCCTGCTCTGTCCTGTGCCAATAGCATTGCCTCCGACATACCCATCCTGATTACCCCAGTCACCGAATCAATCCACCTCATAGAGGGTCTTCCCCTCCTGAGCTGTCCCTCCACACTCCCAAGCATGATGTCCCT